TTTTCTACGTCTTTTTTCCTCTTAATTATGTCTGAAAATAATTTTCGAACCGTATCATATGTAACTATATACATGAATTTCAAGCGCAGTTTATTGATAAAAATGTATTTTAAAACGATGAATAATAGAGAAGAAATTTCGAGAATAAAAATATTGGAACTTGTTATGAGTTCCTCATTATTTATAACTAAACCTATCAAGTACAGAGTTAATCAACTTATGAAATTGTACGATGCGAGTGTCATTCATGATATTCTTTAAGACAATAAATATAGCAGAGTTGTAACTGGTCCGGTTCGGTCAATTTATTAAGACTTTTTTACCGATTAAATGCAATGACATCAAGAAAAACCTTAGTTGTATAAATGATTCATAAAAACAAGATCCATATCTCTGAAAATTGATTCTAGAATATTCATTGTTAATTTTCTCCACTCATGTTCTACACAAGAATATGTTATTCTTTTTCTGTAAATTACAAATTTAATTTAAGTATGATGTCTTAAAATATGAGTACATTATTTGAAGAGATCTCATTTACATAACAAGTTTTGTTTGTACTTCATTAATGAAAATCAAAAAAATAATGACAATAAAGAAGAAAGATGCAAAATAATATTTTACAACAATATTACCTTTTATTCTCATAAAAAATCAGATCGGTTATAACTCTGACATATAGATATAAATTGATTCAATCTTTTTAACAATTCGAAATATTCTATTATTCGATTTGTTAATAAAATAAATGTCCTATTGAAAAACATTATTCACCCATTTTTCTTAATGATCGATTGATGCTTTATGTTTTTTTTATTATAAATAATTGATTAAATACAGACATATGTTGATTTTAAATGTTTGTACCGAAAGAAATATAGCGAACTTCGTAAGACTTCAAGCGTGAAGTTCCACCTATATTCTCTCCAGTTCATAAAACCCACGGCAAATTCCCTTTTTCCAAGAAATTCAAATTTCTGCATACTATTATATAATGGATAGTACAAGTTAAGCAATACGATTGCAAGCATCTATATTAAATATCGATAATCTATAGGTAAAATTCATTTTTACACATTCAATTGAAGGTATGCAATCTCATTGGGTTGGATTCGGGGATTTATTTTATTATGAAACACGATCTAAAAGGAGTGTTGAAGTACACAGGATAGAAATTCGCAATTCTCCCACCGTTACAAAAACTATGATAGATGGGATCGACAGACACCTTAACAACATTTCCCCTTCTCACGTCACAGAATGTGACAGATGTTGTTGATATATGATCACAAACTGTATATCAATAATGTTTTATTATGATATAGAAACTATTTCCTTAATGTATTTATTTCAATGAAATTTATTATTTCATAATAATTTTATTTGAATTTCCTGGAAATAGAAATTTACCATTGCATTAGTTTTTCATATCGAATTAAAATTCATATTATCTTTTACAATAATAAAACTGAAATATTCTCTGATAGTAAGATTTTTGTTTTTTGTTTAACGTATCGTTATCATAAAATTTTCAAGTGTTTATTGTTCATCCACACTTGTTTTTCTTCGTATACTTCGAAGATCACTAAAGTTCTAATAGAAACGAAATGTACAAAAAGAGAAAAAAAAAACAATCAACAAAATCCGTTTTCTATAGATATGTTTGTTCAATTGTAATAGCACCAACAAATATAGAAAAAGATGTAATTATACGGATGACAATGAATTATCACCTGAACTATGAATACTTGTAAGAGAATAATTATCAATATCATTTTGTGTTGTATATAAATCAATTTGATCAAGATCAAATGCATGATCCCAATCTAGCTCAGCTTTTCTATTACGATATTGACCACGTTGTCTTGGTTCTCTTTGTTTTAAATTTGAATATGTTACTTTTTTATCATTTAAATTATTACATAAAGAAAATTGATTATCTTTTATTTCCATTAATGGACGAATTGGTTGTTGTTGTTCTTGTTCTTGTTGTTCTTGTTTTTGTTGATTATAATAATAAAAATGATCATTATTTTGTGAACGATGTTGGATTGTTGAAGAAGATGAACGTGTAAAATGTTGTTTTTCTTGTTTATATCGATGATTAGTATTATAATAAATAGTTGTTGGATGAAAATATGTTGAGTGATAATTATTTTTTAAATGATGTGTTCGTTGCTTTGTATGGATTTCAGTTACTAATCTTTGTTCTGTCTCAGGTTTCACTGTAACAAGTAGATTAGGATATTGATATGAACGTTGTTGATAACTAGCCATATTCACTGTTTAATAAAAGCTACTTAGAGGCGATAGTTGATGTTGTTTAGTATGTCAAAATGAATTAAAACTCTAAAATGTAAAACTAAAAATCAATGAACGAAACAAAAAAAAAAAATACCCACGCACAAACACACAATGTGAAGAGGATCAACCTTCATTCACCATTAAAAACAAGTCACATGCATCTATCAATTTATAAAATCGAATATAGAAAGAGTGTATGAAGTAGCAATCAATGACGATCTTTGTTTGTTTTTATTTGAAAGAAAGTTAGATGAGAATTAAACGAACTGTCATTTATTTAGGATTAAAACATTGTGAAAAGATCGATACAGTCAAGACATTATCAAGTGAAAGAAGAGATGAGATATTTTATATACAAAAGGATAATAGTAATATATATATACATATACATTGAACTCCACCTGATATATGTATATATCTATATTGAGGTTCTAATAAATGAATATAATGATGAGACATCATCTTTGATTTAATAAAATAAAAAATAAAACAAAGAGAACTTTCAATTTCTTTGTTACTTCGAAATAAGATATGGAAAAAATAACAGCTGCTACCAAAGCAAATATTGTAAAAGAATAGATACCAATAATTTAACTGAAGAGTACTATTACCATTCTATGTTTAAATATGATAACTTACTTTTATTCATTCTATTGAACAAAATAATTTCTATTGTTTCTCTTTCAATTTCATATATACAAAAGAATCTAGTTTATTTAGTAAATGGTATTAGTCAAGCGATACTTATTGTTTTTGAAGGCGAATTGAAAGAGAACGAAAGAGAGTACTAGATGAGCGAATAACTTTTGCCTCTCGTACACTTTCGATTGAAGTGAATCAACTGACAGCAGGATACGAATATGCAATTGCTTTCTTTTTTTTTTCGCTTCTCTATATATTCATCGAACACGTTTTGTTTTCATTTCTTTCTTTATCTTGCTTTTATTTAATAAAATAGAAAAATTTGTTAAAATAAAATCAAACAAAAATTTTTCTTTTTAAACACATGACTTGATCTATATGAATGTGTTTTATATATATATATAAATATAAATATGCTATTTTATCTATATATCATTAATACTTACAATTTCTTACTATAAATACTGTTTATAAACGCGAAGAACTAGTTATTAGTATCGACATTTACTCACCAATAATCAATGAATCAAAGAATCATTTCTGACATTTATCATCACACATATAAATATGTATATATATATAACATGTAGTAGTTAACAGCGAACAAGAAAAAAAGAAAATAGTGCGAAGACGTGAGACGCAGACATATACAGTAATTAGTCAAGACATAAAAGACACAGAGCAAGATAGATGAGTGAGAGTAGAAGATTGAAAACAAATGAAAGTCATTGCCTTGTTATCGTCATGCAGTGAATACAATGAAATACTTTCATCCGACATATCAGTTATAATAATTAATTGAAAGTGGCATTTGTATCAACAGATAGATCTGGTTACAATTATTCATCAATTATACATTTTCTTGTTCCTTGAATTATAAGACAAGATATTTGTTTTTTTTTCTCGTCTTTTTCATTACATTTTTAGAATACATAAATACATATGATTATGTTTTGAATATATAATTGAATGAGAAGTATTATATTCGAATGTTTGGAATTATTTGTTAAAACCCAAGATAAAATATAATGATTTATTTCTTTTCTCAGTTGAGATATATATACTTTATTTATCAAATAATGTAAATTTCCCAAGCGTCACATTCATCATGTAAATCATAGTGTTCGTAAGAAGGTAAAGATAGAAATAAAAATAAAACAAATATGATTATAACCATGAAATATGCATAACTTTTGCTATTTTTTTATTAATCTTTAGATAAAAATTTTCGTGCAAAAAAAAATAATAAATTATTAGATTAAAGTTTTTCATTATCACACTTACGATAACATTAACAATTCAATTAAACGTTAAAATAAAGTTCTTATTTTTTGTACACTTAAATTTATACTAACTAAGTATACTGTGTACACTTTTGTTATCATGAGTTGAGTGTATCAAAGTGTACAATAATGGAGTTCTTTTAAAACATGTATTCGAAAAAAAAATTCTCGCACTGTGTTGGACAAACACTACCTACATCGATATAATAGGAAGAAGATGATAAGTGAATGACGCATTTGAGTTCTTGCTTCTTTTCTGGTATAATCAAAACGATATTAGAAGATAGAAGAAAAAAAATTCAAATATTCTAAAATAACTCAATAAATTATATTTCTTATTTTTCCGCTTAACAATTCATCGAACTATCTTTCAAACAAAATATTATTTTATTCTATAGAACATTTAAAACAAAGTGTACAACAATGTGAATATCGAAATTACATCTGATATTTAAAAGCATTGATTTGATCTTGTATGAAAGTAGTTTTGAATATGTTCAAGAACGACCTCTATTGAAATTTTTGATAATAATAAATTGATTGATATTGAAGGTAGTTGCATAGCAACATATGAATTTTGGAAAATGATTATAATAGATTTTTATGATAGCTTTAGTGTATTTTTCATTCGATCGCAATAGATCTTGATTTTATTTTGAAGCACATTAAGTGAAATAATATTTGCATTTCATTTTGTATTTTTCTATTTTTATTCTAAAAAAGATTTGGTTATTATAAATTCTTTATTTTTTACATAATCTATTACAAATTATGTATGCTCGATCAAATGTTCGACCGGGTTAAACATTTTTTTAAAAATTTAATTACCTTAATTGAACATTTAAATTTTTAAAGGTGCTCGACCTACAGCAACAACTAATTCTACTTATGGTGCATCAAATAATCGATCGTCTGTTAATACAGGTTCTAGTAGTGGATCCATGGCACGATCACAACCTGTTAATCGGTATGATTAATTTATATTTCTATGTTAAAAATCTAAGATTATATGTTATATAGACGATCAGCAAATCAATACGAAAATGAAGCACCACCACCACCTCGTAATGCTGGTAAGCAGCAAAAATCAGCAGGTGGTGGACAAGGTTATGGTGAATATGATTATTTGTATAAGAATGCTCCGGTATATTTAAAAAAATGAAAAAAAAATTATAGAAAATTCTTTTTTGCTATGATTTTTATTCAATGAACTGTTCATAGGGAGGAACTGGTCAACCACCAGCTATGCCTAAATATGTATTATGTTATGTATGTGGACGCAAATATGGAACACAATCAATTGATATTCATGAACCTCAATGTTTAGAAAAATGGCATATTGAAAATGCTAAATTACCTCCAAATTTACGTCGACCAGCACCACGTAAACCTGATATTCATATTAGCAGTAAGTTTTTTTCTTCAATATCGATTTCATTAAATGAAATTCTTTTGTTTCTGTTTTTTTAATAAGGTGGTAATTATACTCTTGATGAAATAAATGATGCAGCTTATGAAGCATCAAAATCTCAACTTGTTCCATGTGAAAATTGTGGACGTAGATTTGCTGCTGATCGTATATCAGTTCATCAACGAAGTTGTAAACCAGGTCATGCAGCCAAAGCTATTGGTGTACGTTTTTATTTTTAAGTATGATATATTTATACTATTTTATGTTACATAGGCACCAGCTGGTCCCAGTACTGGACGAATGGCCGAACGACCTATCCAAAGACGAGATAATGCTTCTTATGGTATGTTATAAACATAAGATTTAAAGATATTGACTCTATTGATAATCTAGATGAATCTGATGATGTACCAATAAGTTCAACAAAACGTGGTGGTGGTGGTGGTGGTGGTGGTGGTGGTGGTGGTGGTAGTAAGGCTGCATTTGCTAGTAGTACATCAGGTGCTGCTGGTCTTTATCCATGTTCTGTATGTAATCGAACATTTGCAAGTGATCGTATACAACAACATGAAGAGGCATGTAAGATTGCTCATAAACAACGGCGTGTATTTGATTCAACTAAACAACGATTACAAGGAACTGAAGCAGCAACATATTTTAGAAAAGGGAAAGGAGGTAAAGGTCCAAATCCATCAGCTAAACCTCAAGTAAATATAATTTTTGTAATATTAAACTTGAAAATCATGTTTTATCTATTTTTTTTATTAGATTTCAAAATCAAATTGGAGACAAAAACATGAAGATTTTATTCGAGCAATTCGTTATGCTAAACAAGCAACTAATTATGAGAAAGCAGGTATAACAAAAAATAAAAAATAAAAACAAAAGAGAGAACAATATAATACATGATATAATTATTTAGGTGGTCGCTTAGCTGATCTACCTCCACCACCTGTTTCTGTTAATCCGGATTATGTACAATGTCCACATTGTGGACGTAATTATGCTCCAACAGTGGCTGAACGACATATACCAAAATGTGTTAATATTTTAGCTAAACCTAAACCTCCACCAGGTCTTAATCGAATGGGTCCACAACAACGTACAGGTCTCGGTAATACTCGTCCAACTGCATCAAATTACAACAATACATCTGGTGGTTTCAGTAATAGTAGCGCATATCCACCTCCGAATAGATCAACACGTGGTGGCCGTTATTAAATGCATAAAGAATATTTTGTACAGAACATTATTTGACTTTTCTTTTCTTTTTTCTTCCTGTTTCATTGTCATTCTGTTATCGCTCAAAAACATACCTACTGTATGCAAAAAAAAAAAAAAATAAGCAAAACAAAAGTGAATTAAAAATATATTAGTCTTTTGTTTAATTTACTCTTATAACCGGTTTATCAGTGGTTTAAATTTTTTCTAATATTTACTTTTACAATTACTCTTGCATTGTGACTTATATTTAAAAAAAACAACTTTTCTTTTTCTGATAATCGATCATTGTTACTGCCTTATTAAACTTATGTAGTCATGTTTCTTTTTTTTTCCTCTTTTAATGAGTATTAAAGCAAGATTTATACATAATAAATTGTTGAACAAGAGAATATCAGATTTACTTGTATATGTGAACAATTATTTTGATGAATTTTGTTTGTCTAAACTCTTTTTAACTGGATTTTCAATGAAGAATGTAAAGACACAAGAAAAACATTGAATTAACATTTCTCAACATGAGAACTTGACAATGAACGAGGTTGATGTTTCTATATGAATGTATCTAAATATAATTGAGTTTATGAAAAACTCTTAAATCCTCTCTAAGCATATAAGATGTATGAATTCTTAGATTAATAATATTTTGAATTCAACATTTCCAATATATCGTGTTCTTTATCGAAAAATGAATAAAATACATATAACAAGAAAATAAATTGTTATAGTCAGTCATCAATGTCTATGGTAAAATGTTATTCCATTTTTGATCTTTTTTATTTAATGATATAGTAAACCATAGTTGTCCAATTAAAGTATTCAAATAAATATGTATACATATATATATATATATATATATTTATTTATAATATTTTTTTTCTGTTTCTTTAAACTAAAATTCTATCATGAAAATTGCAATAAACAAAATAGTTATTGTATATATTTGGACGTATTACGATGCATTAAATCCATACATGGTCCTAATAAACGTTCAAATGATTGAACTTCTAATGATGCTAATTTAACTTTAAAACTAGCTGCAATAACAGTTGCTGATCGAGGTTCATGATTAAGTAAAGCAAGTTCTCCAAAATAATCACCTTCATTTAAACGTTTATGAAATTTTTCATTTCTATATATATCACATTGACCATCTTCAATAAAAAACATTCGATCACCCATATCACCTTGTTTAATAATAATATCATTTTGATAATAATCAATTGGTATTAATGCATCAGCAATATTTGATCGTTCATAATCAGTTAATGATTGTAATATATCAAGATCTCGTAAAAAATTTTCATATTTTTGTCGTTTACGAAATGCATGTTTTAAGACAAGTTTACGAAATGTTTGACGACCCATTACCCATAATGTACCATCACTTGTTGCAATTACAGTTGCCGAACGTGGTTGATTATACATTAGAGCTAATTCACCAAATGAACCTGTTTCATTATATTCACCAATTTTTCTTGGTTGACTATTAGAATCTTCTACATTTGATACATAAACTTCATAAGTACCTTGATCAATAACATAAAAATTATCGCCATCATCACCTATTTGACATGACAAATAAAAAAAAGATCAAAAGAATTTTTAAGGTATCTGTAAATATTTGATTTATTAAACCTTGTCGAATAATACATTCTCCTTTTTTAACATTTTTTTCCCACATAGCATCAAGAATTTGATCAATTTGTTTTGTTTCTAATGTACGAAATAATAAATTATGACAAACAGCATCTTTTAAACGTTGTCTTTGTTCAGCTGTTTTCGGATAAACATGATAATGTTCATCACCAGAATCATCATCTTCTGGATTATATCGTTCAGCTGCAACTGATACTCGACGACATTCATGTTTTTTTATATAATGACGCTAAAGTAATAAAATTATATAAAATCAAATTCTATCAATAATCATACTCGTCTATCTTCAGTAGCAGTAAGAATATCATCATCTTCACTTGATTCACTTTCATTTGATGATGATGCTGGTGAAAAACAATTAATTGATATATTTGCTGTATTTGTCATTGAATTTTCTTGTTTCAATATTTTATTATTTTTTTCTATCGTTGAAGTATTTTCTATAAAAAGAAAAACAAAAGAATATTATCTATATTCATAGCTAAGATTTTTCATAAACATCTATTCTTTTTCTATTGATAATAATTAAATTAGTGTGAAAAAAACAAAACACATTAGAACCGAATGTTATTTTCTAATTTACTTCAAAAATCATTTTCTCCAAATTATTCTTTAGTCTTTTGAGACTGATTGTCAAAAGAAAAAAAGAAAATAAAAACAATATTAATTCTGTAAGATAATCGTAGATTTTTAAAATATAACAATATATAATATTATTTACTAATGTCAATTGAAATATAATAGAAGAAACATGGATGATTTTTTTTTTTATTCTTGTTCACATAATGAAGCTAAACTTATCATCAAATGCTAACATGAGCAAAACAAAACTATTTTACATTTCTGTCATGCAAACATCTATCATCATCTATCCTTTTTTTTTCTTTTCATTAATAGATTTAATAAGATAAATCCTTTGTGTGCTATTTCTATTTTGTCCTTAAAAATAAGAACTTGTTCTTTTTGCTTTAGACATATAATAGATATCAATTTTTGGAAATTCTTTATATAAAATCGATCGATTTTGATGTCAAAACATTGACTTTTGATTAGAAAAAAAAATCTACTCACACACAGATCAATGAGTTAAATATAATGTGGTTCTGCTTATTATACAAACGAAATGAACGTTACTTTAGTATAACTATTGTCATTAATAGATGCATATCGATCAGGAAATGTCTGAATATTTTATGAAAAAAAAAAATTTCCCAATGCAATACCAACTTACCTAATAATGTAGCGTCGTGTGCTGATGTTGCTAAGGTTTTTTCATGATGTCTAATGGAAGAAGAAAAAGTAGAAGAAAACGGAACTGTCGTGACCATGTTGTCATCTGTCATAAATTGTGATTTTTGTTGTCGTTGAAGTTGTGTGAAATAATCGACAGCATGATCGATAATATCAGGTGGTTTTGTGCGTAATATACTTAATGTAAAATTGCGCAGAATAATTGGTAATTCACTAGGAATTTCAATTTGTGCCATATGTTAAATATTATCTTTTCAATATCTAAAAATACAATTACTTTAATATATATATATATATATATATTTATCATTATTATGATTGAAAGTAAAAGAAGAAATCTATTATTAGTCAGATAAGTAGTAATTTGTCTTTCTAATTATCATATATATATATGTAATAATAATAACAGCCTTGAGCGAATAAATACGTGAGAGGAAACTACAAGAAGTGTCAATATTTCATCTTATCAAGTGTTTACGTTCATATGGTGACAAAATGTGTTCTTAGAGTGTGTTAAAAACATCATTTTACTCTTTCTATGAGAAAAAAAAAAACATTTTTCTATGTCTCTTGATAGTAAAGAATATGCTAAATTGCCTTGTTATTTCATTTTACAGTTGATTCTGTTCAAGTTTTCTTCACCTTCTCCGTTTTCCTCTTCAGTCGAGAACTAATTTTTTGATGACGATGTCGTTTTTCCTGTATTCTTTTTCTACATTATTTTTACACGACAAGGGAACCAATAATTTAGTTTTGACAACCATTTTTTTTTTTTATCTCACTGAAAATAAACGTACTATGAGTTTAATTTTCATGAAATAGTATCATTTTAAAAATTCATCTACTTCTTTCTACTGATGTTAATCTTTTTTTGTGAATCAAGGAATATAATATAGATTGTGACTGAATGAACTTTTTACGTTATTAAAAGAAAAAAAAATACAACTACAATACATCAATTTCTTCTCATTGCCCAGTGAGAAGAATACGCCAATAAAGAAAACAACTTTTTCCTATTCGATGATTTCTTTTGCATCGACACACCATACATTTAATCACTTACGCCAGATGTAAGACATTGGAGATGATACGATTGATAATAATTAATGTTCTGTAAAAAAAAAACGATCTTGCGTACTTCTCACCGCATTAAATATAAATAAAGTGTTTTTAGTTGATTTCTTTTTTCTTTGAACTTTTTTTTTTCTTAAAAACTAGCAGTAGACACTGTCACACACCCTATAAACATATATACTTACCTTTTTTAAATTTGCCGATGTGAATAAAAAAATAGTAGGAACTGAAGAGACACGTATATATATATATATAATCGACATCTAACTCTCACAACGCTTTGTTCGCAAAAGAAGTTTTTTTTTACTGCCTGACTAAATGCTGGCTTCTGCTTTGTTTAATAATCAAATAAATGAAATTCCTTCATTGCATTTTGTTTATTTATGGATAGCAGAACAGTGACGGGCGATAGGAAAAAATATATTTATATATATATATATTTAATAGATCTTCTTAATAGCACACAGTATATAGAATCTATACAAAAAGAACACGGCAAAATGAAGGAACCCGAAACGATTTATGTTGTATTACTTTGAAAAGCATCCTATTTGAGAAAGAAGCTGAAAGAAATCATGCAAAAAAAATGATTACCCGTAGGATTTTCTTTCGTTTACAATAAATTGTTTTGTGTTGCTGGTTACGATAAAGTGCCAATGATGATATTTGATGAGTGTTTTATTAGAAGTTTATATATTATATGCTTACATATGTTATATGTTAGACTAAAAGAAGAAAAAAAAAAAAGATGCATCATCATCGTCGGAATTTTTCTCATCGTGCATAATAACACTCGCGGACATTCATAGTCTACAGGGGCTCTGGTAAGCATATAACATGAAGATGATAGGTTGAGAAACAAGAGAAATATTGTGACTTCATAGATGCCTTTTTTATCATTGGCTGTGTCAAAACAGCTCATCATATAAAAAAAATTGATGGTATTCATCAGTCATTGTGATCAAAGAATTGAGTTGTCTTATTTGCATATTACTATTGCTTCGATAGTATATGGA